GGGGCGTTTAGCGATGGCCGTGCTTAGGTGTTGTTTTTAAGAGAGAGATTTCGGGGGGGGGGGCCGGGAATCTGAGAGCCTCCGTGGGTTAAAGGCCATTTCTTCAGCTGGTAGTTATAATGTTCTTCAGCCCCCCCCCCTCATTTTCTTCCCTTCTTCTTCTTCTGCCAACATTTTACTTTGTGGCGTTAAGGTTTTGTGTATTTATCGTTTAGGCGTGGTCTTCGTTCTCGAACTTGTTGCGGGTTGCGTGAAGGGGGGTAACAAACCTGAAGAGGAGACCTGGTAGTGTCTCTTTAGTGTTTCTAGAGCTCTGCTCGCCTTTTGGACTAAGTGGATAATTGTAGCCTATTCACAATAAATAAACTTCATTATTGGGTGGTTTAGGTATGTGTGTGTACGTGTGTTTGTTGTCTGAACTAATTCCTCAGGAGAAGAGGGTGTGTACTTAGACATGTTTTAGTAGCCTTGGGCTGTTTTCAGAATGCAACTTTTCTTTTTCTTTTTCTAAAAATTCTTTTTCTAAAAACTGCCTTAGAAGCTGTTGTAGATGAAATGCTATCTATACATGCAGGACATTATATATATATATCCGTGAAAAAGAAATTGTAAACAAAGGGTTGCAAAACAAAAATAATGCAAAATCAGATTGGGTTAGATAATTTGAATTTGAAGAGAATTTGAGTTGTTATGGGGCAATTCGTTACTAATGATTAAACATTGTTAAATACTAAGAGAGACTTGATGTTAGATAATTCTTACACTTACGTGTGTAAAGTGCTATGAAACACAATAATGCTGTGTCTTCAAACTTGAATGTGCACTACAGATCCCCTATTTGTGACATGTCAGTAGCTGGATGTAAGCTGCTGCTGCATATACAAAAGGCAGGGCGTTTTTTAAATGGTATAGCATAAGATTTTATTTTGTGGTTAACAGCTCTCAAAATACAACAAAAACAAATCCTCTTTAAATTGAACACATTTTAATTCTGGCACATAGCAGATGATATTCTTTCATAAAATGTGTATTGGAGAAAATTTATAAGTTTATGATCTTTGAGGACTTTTTTGTGTCAAGGATATAACTTTGCAAAGAAGACAGGGATTTAAGTGTGAATACAAATAGCACTCTAACATGATAGCATCATTACCAATTTTGATGTGAATGTAATGAAACAGAACTTGTAACAACCATATTACAATTAGTCATCGTTCTGTGCAACTGATATTTATTTGCATGACTGCTGCCTGTTTTGTGTCAAGATAATCACATGGGGGAAAGGATTATAAAACATAAAGAATTTGCAGGTCGGTAATGGGTGCAACCATTTTGGGAAGTGGTTTCAGGAATTTACTCAACTAACGAAAACCTGGCGGAGTTGATGAAACAACTATTTGAGCTACATTGTGAAAGTTCACCTCAAAAATACATGCTTTTTCTTCTGTCCCAGGAAAGGATCATACCTGCTGTAAAGAAGCCATAAAATATCTATTGATAAAATGAGAATGTACAACTGTGACATCCTTGGTGATGGTTGTTATGCACCATAAAATCACCTCTGACTTGTGGCGACCTTATAAATGAGCAATATCTAAAATGCCTTGTCCACATCTGCCCTGCTGAGCTCTTGTAAACTTAAATCTGTGGCTTCCTTCAGAGAGTCAGTCCATCTTGTAGTTAGTCTTCCTCTTTTCCTGCTGCCTCCCACCTTTCCCAGCATTAATCTATTTTCCAGAGAATCCTGCTTTCTCATGATGTGGCCAAAGTAGGACAGGAAGTGACACTTCCTTACACTCAATATTTTTGAATTCTTTAATTGTCTCAGTCATCTTCTGATTTTTTTGGCTGTAGTCTCTTTAGATCAGGGGTGTCCAACCTTTCACCTTCCCTGGGCCACATTAGAAGGTGACAATTTGGTTTGGGCCGCACATACATTTGGTTTGGGCCGCATGGGGGGGGCAGCCCTAGCCGTCCTCCACAGCCCTGCTCGAAGCGCGCTTACCGGCAGCTGCAATCTCAGCAAAAGCTGCCAGCTTCGACTTCGGTGGCTTTATGGGGCCGGGAGGGAGTCCACCTATTGACGGGGATGGCGCAATGCAGTCCTGCAGCCCCCCTGTCCCCTCCCCTCCCACTCCTTCCTTCCTTCCCTCTCTCCCTCTCTACTGTTGTGACATGCCCCGGCCACATTCCAGCCGCAAGCACCGGCAGTGTAACTTGAAACTTTGGAATTTCTTTAAAAATAAAAAATTGCACTGGGCCGCATTACGAGCTGACCTGGGCCGCATTCGGCCCTCGGGCCGCAGGTTGGACAAGCCTGATTTAGATTGATAAGCAGGTCACGTGTATAAAATAAAATAAGAATTCGTAATGTTTGTCTCTTGGTCACTTTCTGTCTCTGTGTATTTGGGTCTGGTATACATGTGGGCAGAAAATCCGTATTGATATGTTTAATGATTTTCTGGATTAGCATTTTTGTGTGGGGAGCCATTGACTCCAGCTGGTCTGGAGGTGTTTGCTTTCCATGAGCTTGGATGAGTGGAGAGAACCTTGATTATTGTTTTTGCTGAGCCCAACCAGGGGAAAATACCAGTGCATATTGTTTGCCTTGTGGCTGAAAAAAGATTATTGGGATCTTAGAATACCAAACTGGAGGTTAAGCTTTCAATAGGGCGGGTGAAGAAATCCAGAGTAAAGAAGCTGTGCCATTCATTGTCCGCATCTGCTGTTTCCCCACAAATACAATATGACTAGGGAAGCAAAAGGGCCTCAGCATCTTTGTCTTTGATATCATTTACAGTATTTTGCTGATGACCTCACAATCGGCTTTCAATTTCACTTGAGGTGGGAAAGGCACAACCACAGAGTAACTTTAGGATGTTGTAGTATATCCATCAGGCCTTGGCAGTGCTCTAGTATGTAATCAGATCACAGATTACTGGGCACTGAAACCTTTTGAAAAGATAAATGGGCTGAAATTGGTTGAACCACAATTTCAGTGTCAGAAGATTTGTGCAACTGGCTCTGTAGGTGGAAAAGTCATTTTGTCGTAATAAAATCGAAGTGCGCAACCAAAACATCCTTAGTCTTATGCATAAAAGTCTAAAAGATAGCTGTATGAATTGTCTGCAGTTCTCTGGTCTTCATTCGGAAGTGACCTCTCATCTGACTGTTTTATTCTGTGATGGAGCAAGTCAGCAGATTTGGCCTTCTATCTACCTGCAAAAAATATTTGCCACACTCAGTGTGCAAAAATACTTATCCCACTCTTAGTATTATTTAATTATTGCTCTTTTATCTTGCAAATGAGACCTGCAACTCTCATCTCTAGATTTTGATACATAGACATGAAGACAGTGTGGGGAGGTGTTTTCAGAGCAAATACCATTTGCGTCACTCTTGTTCATTTATGTTTAACTGCTTTGTGACTGCATTGTGCTTTGGAAAACAAAAGGTTGACAAATGCTGACTAGCTTGGTAACCAGCCACAGCAGCCAGTGAGACTCTATTTTCTGCTCCCCAACAGCAAAATAAGCAGTGCTTGGAAAAAGACATTTTTTTTAAAAAAATTATATTTCCTAAAATTTCCCAATCAGCATTGGCTGGGAGGTTCTGCAAGTTCTAGTCCAAAAA